GGTCGTGCTCGTGATTTTGCTTCCCATATCCTTTTATCAAGACGTCGATCACTATGAGACATAAGATGAGCAAACTAGTCAGACCAAAGCAGATCAAGCGCGGCGCCTGACTGAATTTATGTCTGGGTCCTAGGGTAATTTTTGTATACTGTTAAATCAAACTACTCATATAAAAAGGAATAAATACAACAAATATTGCAACTATTTGAATTATATAAATATTGTGATATAGGAGTTGACTTCTATTAGATTTATAATGCAATTAGATCTTTTATTATGAAATATAATACATTTTAAATTCAATTATATTATCATGTGCATAATTTAAATAACTAAGACAACAAGAAATAATGAATACTATAATTACTATTTCCGAATAATCGTAGAATTTATATTTTTAAGGCTCTAATTCTGTGCTAAAATCCTTCAAGCATTGATTTAATGGGCCTAGCGACATTTAATAATGCTATCTTTGACCAATATCACAAGCGATTTCTTATTAGATGCTATTGATATTTTACTGTATATTAACTTATTTTTAAATATATTTAGTTTATTTAGTGATCCAATTTTGAGTTAAAAGAGCATTAATCACCTGCATGTTTGGCACCTTTAAGGGAAGATATTTCAGACGTGACAATAATAAAAGAAAATTTATTTGTACTATGTAGTTAGCAAAAAGCAATAAAAAAATGTGTTGGTGTAACTTAACTGTTATTTTTAACAAAGTTATTCGGATGATCTAGTAATAACTCATTCTTTTGAAAAGAGTCTGGATGCACATAAATAATCTCATATACATCTATTTATAGTTTGTAATCGTAATTAATATTAATTAAAAATTAATAAAAATAAATTTATATCATCATTTTACTTTATTTTATTTCTTGTATATTTGGCAATTAACTCGGCTTAATTTTTGCGCGGCTTATCTCCTGTATTTCTCTCCTCTTAATCTTTCCATTCTGAGTTCCCAATCTTCCAACTCATTTTCACTGTGATTTACAACAAAATATGCGTTAATTTACAACATGAGTATCCCATGGCACCCTATAGAATCGAGTGTGGCTCATGCTGTTCGCCCACCCGCGTATCCTTATCACCTCAAAGTCGGAGCCTGTCTTACTCGTCCGGCTTATAGGGATGGGAAGATAAAGCGTGCAGTTAAGGTGGAATTTATTCATAATATATTTATATTTATATTTATAGTCATTTACAATTGCTGATGAATCGTGCTACCTCATATTAAAGGGAGTACCTTCGCTTGATCTAGAAAAGGTGCTCAAAGAAAAGTTAAAGAAGTTCGGTGCTGTAGATTCTATCAGAGTACTTGACGACTATCCTTATACAGAATCGTTTACACAAGTTTTCGTAGTAAAAATGTCTTCAGTTCTTTCTGCAAGGTGTGATGATATTTCTTTTAGCTAATTATTGCTTTACCTTTTTTGAATTTATTTTATTAACTCTTGTTTGTTATCACAAAGAAATGCTAAGCGCTACTTAGATGAAACGACTTTCTTTGGTGGCGTTATTTATATTTGTTATGCTCCAGAATATGAGTCAGTAGCAGAGTGCCGAATCAAACTCCACATGTGCCGTCGTCAAAATGGAGGTGTTTTTCGGAAAGCAGGTGGGCTTTTATTTATAACGATGCAATATATTTACTATGACTTATATAAAGCTTAAATGCTAATCTTCAGATAGTTTTTATCACGAATTTCTGTGTTCTTTTCCATTGCATTTTTCCTTATTTCCATTACATCATAAGGTTCTGATAAACCATCTATGGATTCTATTATCCATTAAATGTTTAAGATTTATTCTAAGCTTCCTAAAAACTCACTACTTACGGAGCCTATATTTTGCCCCTATTGTATTACTTCTCATTACTTAGACTTGCTGGGTTTGTCTTGAATTCTTATAATATATTATACCTTTTTCATTTATCATTTAATCTTTATCATAGCTTTGTGTACTTGTTAAAAAATTATTATTATATTTACTGATTTGCTTCTGAAAAAGCCTGTCGGCTAAAAAGGTTTACTTATATTTATGATAAATTAAATTCCGAATAGTTCGTCCCGGTTAATCACTGAGCATGAACTTGTATTACTATTTTCTCCCGAATCTCCAGAAAAACTATTTTCTTATATTTTTTATTGCGATTTTCTACATCACTGTTTTCTTCTTTGTTTGTTGCTCCAGCATTTTATTACTCAATGTAATTCTTCGTTATTTAGAGCATGACTTCAAAAAATACATCTCTGGTAGCTCACAACAACAATTTCCAGCTGAATTTAGCATCACTAGTATGGACTTGACCAAGGACCCATCCACTCATGAAAACCAGATACTTCCTCCAGAATTGCCGTGCACTTCACATGCACTTGATGCTCTTGATGACTCTAGAGAATACTGGAGGAGATTAGGGGCCGATTATGTTAAGAAATTGGAACCTTTAGCAGAAGGAAAATCGAAATCTTCTCCTTATTACAGACCGGCTTCGAACCTCATTATTCCAGACTTGACTAAGTAAGTTTTCCTGATTCATGTTACTTTCCTTTATAGCGGCTAGATATTTTCTTCAACCTTTCTGAATGTTTTAACATTCGTTATTTTGGAATATAGCCCCGAATTACGTTTTTCTATGAACTACTGTGTGCGGATATTCAACCGAGTCACAAAGTAGCTTGAATGGATTACTATAAATTACAAACAAGTATATAGCCTATAAAATTAGCGCCGCATATTTACGGATTAATGAGGAAGCGTTAATATCAGAGGGGAATACTGAATGTAACTAGGAAGTTTACATCGTCGGGCTGAAGGCGGGTGCAGTGTCCTTAGAATTCCTTTAAGTTATTGCTTGCTTAATAACTTGCCTTGTTCTTGTGCGCGTATATTAACACTTGATTGAATCATGGATAATGGCCTAACTTGACGTGATCTCCCAGATAGATGCAATGGGAAAAGTCGTTTGTGACTGAATAAATATGGAAATTATATTTTTATGAGATAAGCAAGTGTTATGAGCTAGATGCGATGTCCTGTAACGAGGCCAATCGTTGTAGTGAGGATCGATTTATACTTGTTTGATTCCCAGAAATGATAAATTTTAAAGATTATTATCATCATAATCATTTTTGCTGGGCTAATACATTTATCCGTACAGATGAGTCAGCAGGCTATTTCTCTATTTTTTTATTTTTCTAATGCGCCTAGCTTAGGCCTACTTTATATATTTTTATTCCCTTAAATATATAGTTTTGTAAATACTAACTTTTTATTAATTCTTTAAAGTGATTCTTTCGGGAGTTGAAATTCCTTATGGGATTGACAAGATATGGCAAATTCTGCATTTAATTATACAGAATAATGTTGGATTTTTTTGATTGAAAATTAATTTCATGAAGGTAAACGGAATAAAAGAATATAAGTTAT